AAGGCTGTGCCCACCTTCCTCTCATCCCTGTGAATAGTCCATTTGCTGCTCAGGCTCAGAGATAAGCTGTGTGTCAACTATGAAAAGCTGTACCAGAAGGAAATCAGACCTAGTGAGGCCAGGGATTCTTTTGTTAAAGACTTTAACACCTGCAGTCAGCTTGTCCTTTGGATCTTAGCAGATGACAACACCCTTGCTGGCTGCTGCTAACTGGAGTCAAGGACTTTTCATCACCCCAGTCTCCTCCCCATATGTCTCTGCAGCAGTCTCCTCCAATTTTCACCACCCAAAAACCCCTTTCCCAAATTCTTTCAGACTCACAGCATAGATCTCTTTTCATTTTTGGAGTGTTCTGGAAAACCTGGAGCTTCAAAACGTGATTCCTACCAAAGGTGCTGGTGGTGGAGGACCTGCTGGATGTTAGGCTGGAATTTTGTCCTAAAACCTTGCAGAAATGGCTGTGGTGTTACACTGCCTGCCTGCACTAGAGAGAATGTCTCCCTGAGGGAAGTGCTGATGGGAGGAAGCAGGAAGGGCTTCAGAGCAGTTTTTAAGGGCAATGGAGCTGCTGGCACAGGGAAGGTCCAGTAACTGCAGAACCAGGAGAGAAAAACAACACCTTTTGTCCCCCCAGTTATCCAGGTCTGGTTACTCCCTGTGTGTGGAACTTGCAGTCCTTAAAGCAGGGAGCTAAAATAGCTGAGTATTGGCCGTGCCCGTGAGGTGTGGGAGCCCCGAGGGACAGGGCAGTGCTGTTCCCTGCCGGGCACTGACCGTGGGCACAGCTGCGGATCGAGGCCATGGCCAGAGGTCACAGGGTTCTGCTTCAGCTTACCCTGGAAACACCTGGAACCTGAGACAGATTTACTCTGTCAAGTCTCCTGTAATGAGATTCTGTGTGAATTTAAAACACGTGGCCATCCCTCTTCACTGGGAGGAAGGACACTGATACCAGTAAACAAAGAGAAAGGGATTTGTTTCTAGTTGCTCACTGAGAGAATCGGAAATCGTGTCTTCTCTGCAAGCACTATTTAAAAAATTTGCCTGAGAAACTTCACAGAATTCCATGTTCTCAGCATCTCTTCTCTGTTTTATGAGGATCTTGAAGTCAATTTAAGCCTTCAGGGAAGGGGCTCTGGCCCTCTCCCTTACTCTGGCTTTGTTCCTTTGCCCATTCCAGCTGTTGCCAGTGGATGGTTCACTTTCCCTGTTGCTGTTCCTGGCAAACCTTCTCTCACTCTCCCAGGAGATGGTTCCAAACCGGGCCACCAGGAACTCCCCGTTGGAAATATGTTGGGCTGGGCTTGGGTGGAAGTGACAGCCCACCCCTGGAAGTGTCCAAGGGCAGATTGGACAGGGCTTGCAGCAACCTGGGATATGGAATGTGTCCCTGCCCACGGAGAGGTGAGCTTCAAGGTCCCTTCCAACCCAAACCATTCCATAATGAATTAATTTTTAGTTATACTAATGCTCACTCTTTCAACACTTCTTATGCCTGAATAATGCTAAAATATTCCAAGGAGGTCCATTATTACCCTCCTCATCAAAAAGGCCCCCACTCAGATTAATGTGGCCTTTCCAGCAGATTAGTGGGCTACTGTGTAATAGATTTCAGAGCCACAGAAAGCAGCATTTTGGGGGTGGGTGTGACTAAAGATTTATAAAATGGTTCTTGGAACAGTTTGGGAATTTTTCAACTCTTTTTCTAATCACATCGGTCAATGATATAATGATTTTGCAGGATTGTATCAGTCTGATGGCAAGTTTTGGAAGGTTTCATAGCCTTTCTGGATGAGCAGAGTGGGACAGAGGGCGTGCAAGGCAGCAGGACAAGACACTGATGCAGAGGACCAAGGAGAGGGGTAACTGCTGACCTGCTGCCTGTTCTGGGATGTATCTATGGATTCCCTTTTGTTTTGCTTGCACAAAATTTCAGTAGGTCTTGGTTTTGCCCTGAAGTGGAGCAAAATAAGTTACAAAACAAAATTCTTGGCTTTTGGCCAGCCCTAGAAGTGCTTCCAGTTGGCAAAAGTTTCCCTGGTGTTACCCATTTCCAAAGACTCTTAAATCCCCAGGACAGGCTGTTTCTGTCCTACCATGAACCACGCCATGCAAGCAGCTAACTGGGGAGCACACTGGCCTCTCAGCAGTGTGGTGGTTTTCTTTTTCCCCTCCATCCCTTGTTTTGTTATTCTGTTTTTTGCTGGTGTTTGGTGTGTCAAAGGTCTGAGGAAGATCAGGCACAGGGTGAAGGCTCAGAGATGATGGTTAACTGGGACCCAGACCTGTTGGTCTCTGAGTGCTCTACAGGCACAGTGAGCTGGGAGTAGCTGAATGGGTTCTGTGGGGTTTTCAATTTGTTTTAAACTCAGTTTCAGACAATTTAAAATGTTGGCAGCTGGTGGTTCTGCGTCAATGGTACTCATAAAAATGCCATTTATTTACACCAAACCTGTTGAAAGAAGTTAAACCCCAGAAATTTGAAGTACTTTGTTCCAGATTTCACAGATATCACCTAACCCAGAATGTAATAGCATATGAAGAGCCCAGACAATTAGTTTTTCAAGGCCCAGAGAGAAACAAAAGCTCTGTAATGTGTTTTGAGGACGTGCAGCATTATCAGTATTAAATCATGCAAAGAGGCCTTGTTTGAGCTGGGTAACACTGGCAGCACAGCCTGTGTGAGAAAGCACCTGACCCCAGAGGTGGGACAGAGCAATGTGGTCTGTGCTCTGCTGAAATGCTTTTCCCCTATAGTACGTATGGGAATGAGAGGGGAAATGGAGAAAATTGTCCTGTATTTAATTTGAACACATGCCAGTGTCTGTGTTCTCACTGATATGGACTGATCTGTGGCAATGAGTCTCACAGCTTCCAGCAGAGGTGTAGTGAGGTCCCAAATGAAATGCTCCAGCTGTGCCCTGCCAGTGTCTGCAACATTGCTGTTCACAAGTCTCCAGTCACCAGAATTACCCAGTCTATCAGTCCATTACTCTACCAGGAATATATAAAATAGTGTAATAGGCTTGTATCTCCAAACTGGTGCTTAGTTGGTGTTTAAACCTGTGCTGGACCGTTTGTTGCCACAGCAGGACTGGTGTCTGGAGCAGTGGGGCAGGATTGTGTTGTGCTCCAGCCCAGAGGAGATTCCTCGCAGCCTAAATAAAAAGGGAATATTGCAAACAAGGGTATAAATGGGCTGGATTTAAAAACTGGCACTACACAATGACTAAGCCACCTTGCAGCCCCAAATCCCTGAGCCACTTCTTTCTAGAAGCCTTGATTAATAGATATATTTTTTTCCTTTCTATAAACTTTGATTCTCCTTCTTGACAAGTGCAGGAGATACTGCTTTCATCACTTCTGCAAAGGATGAGCTAACGTGTTCTGTACATTTTTTCTTACACTAAGGAACAACCTTAACTACTTCAAGTAAATACTTCCTGCTTCTATGTCTTCCTTCACCCAGAAAAGCAGGATAATTCCATGCTGTCAAACGGAGTCTGAATGAGTTATATTTACATTTTCTAGTAGCACTGAGCAAACGAAGCGAATTGTTAGAAAGTCTTCAGAAGGAGAGGAAGAAAACACGGATCTGCAGGAGCAGAGCTGTGTTTGTCTGATCTGTCAGCAGCATGAGCAGTGCCTGGGTGCTGCTGAGGATCCAATGTTCTCTCCTGGCATTCCCAGAGCCAGCTGGGATCTCCAGACAAGTAATATGCAGCTTAACAGGTACTTGGCAAGAAATGGATGGCTGAGCAGGTACAGCTACAGTGGGCAGGGAGCAGTTACCGGCCCCGGGCTCTCAGAACGGAAGGAGCTGCAAATTTTTCCTCTATTGTTTTATTGCTCTGACACCCAAATCTTTGTATTTTTTACTAGATCTTGGCAGGTATTTCCTAACAGTGAGGTGTGAATAGGCTGCTGTGTTGTGTTTCAGTCCAATAGAACATACACCCATAGAGACTGCTATGAAATAGTCACGTTGGACTTCACTGCACTAAGATGTTGTAATTCCCACCACATTTAACTGAGGATGGAGTGACATGGAAGTCCTGAATGCCTTCCCTTGATGTGTTTGGACTTAAAAAAGGAAAAAAGGCTGTACAAGAGCAGCTTTTTTTGATGCTGTTTAACAGCCACTAAATCCCAGACTACTTGGGTTTCACCTCTGCTGTGTCCGTACCATGGTGGAGGGTAATTTGTTTTCTTTCAAAAAGCATTTAGTCAGATGATTTTTGCTTGTGAAGGAGTAAGCACAGACTCCCAGAACGGTTTGAGTTGGAAAGGACCTGAAGTTCCATCCAGCTCGACCCCCTGCCATGAGCAAAGACACCTTCCACCAGCCCAGGTTGCTCCAAGCCCCGTCCAACCTGGCCTTGGGCACTTCCAGGGATGCAGGGGCAGCCACAGCTTCTCTGGTCAACCTGTGCCAGGGCCTTTCTTCCTAACAATTAATCTAAATCTCTCTCAGTTTAAAACCATTCAAGGTGTTGCAGAAACGCTGCAAACAGTTCAGCACGTTGCTGTTCGCGGGGGTTTCGGCGCCGCCCCGGGGCAGTCGCCAAAAGCCACCGACGGGGTTTTGGCAATCCCCCCTCCCCGATTAAAAATCGTCGTTGCTGTGGGCCGGTTTTCCGTATCCCGCGGGCAGAACCCCCGATGCTGCGGAGCTCAGTCCAAGCCCTGAGCCGGCCGGGGGCTCGCTCGGGGCTCCCGGGGGGCTGCGGAGCGGGGCGGGGGCTCGTCCC